CAGTTTTACCAATAATTACCAAATAATGCACCACACATGGTCCTTTTGCCTAGTTTTCACTTTATTTATATGTTATATCCAGTATTTAATACTGAAAATTTTATATATATACATATATATATATATATATATACACACCGATATATACATTGTACATGCACAAATGTACACACAACCGAACATTCTTGAAACTGAAAATTAAAAGAAATTAAACTAAGCACAAAAGAAAATTTTGCATTGTATTTGCTTCTAAGTTGATCCTAACATTAAGTATCTTTGCAGTTATTATCCACAGATTTTTAAAGAAAAAATTGCTAGGAATCTAACAGGATTTATCCTGGTTTTGAATAGTGGTGAAATCATTGTTGATTAGTGAGAAAAAGCATAATTTGCAATGCCGTAGACATTATCTGAGTCTCATTCATATCAAACAATATTAAATGGTAGCCAGCATTCAATTTGGAGAGTTGCTGACTATTAAACGCCATAAATAGACCTCCAATAAATACAAAAGGGGGAAAAATGGTATGAGCTTGTTTATGCAAATCTCTTAATTATTACTAAGTTCTCCCTCATTATTTCATTTTATTCCAGGACTGCTTTTGTATAGTAACTGAATTCCCACCATATTCTCAAACCATTGAAACATCTAAAATAAAAACCATTACTGAGGGGTCTGCCTGATCGCCAGACAGAATTTCCCACAACTTCAAATGCTCTTACTCTTCATGTTTTCTTGTGCATCAGCAATCATCTCTTCCAGCAGTCTAACCACACAAACTCCTTCCATCTATGGTCCACTACTGGGTTTATAAGCATCTTTAAATTCAAATCCAATAGTGCCATTATATATATTTTAAAAATCTAAACATTTCATGCTTCAAACCAGCAGGAAAGGGAGGAATTGTGTTAGGAAGACCCTTGCATGTTCCCTCCCCCCCCCAATGATCATAGCTAATAATGCCATTCTGATAGCTGCAGCATTAATTATGCTATACAGTAAGGGAAATGGGTTTTCATTGGTTTTCCAAAATCACTCTATTCGTTTTTTTGATGTCTTTCATCTCAGGGAATTGAATGGGATGGAGTAGGGGAGTGCCAATAATTGGCAAATTACTAATGTAAGCATACTTCCTCTCAAAATTCCTCATCTTTACAGTGGAGGAATAAAAATCACTGTACCTTCTCAGAACTTGATTTGAGCAGTTAAATTCAATGGTATCTAGTTTTTTTCTACAATGCACCAGAGTATAAACCAGCTTCCAATTTATAATCTTTTCAGAAACATAGTGGGAAATGTAGATGGAAGTGTTTCAGCAATTAATACACAACAGGTCCAAATCCACAGGAACAGAAATCCCAGATCCATTCTTGTCTTTGGCCACTAATTGTTGGCTGGTGAATTGTTCTCAGTCCTGTATGTATCATCTTTGGACCCAACTCAGGGAAGTAGCTTTGTGTGTTAGAGCAGGGGTATCAAACTCGTGGCCCACGGGCCGGATGCATCACATGCTGGCCACCCCAAATTTTCACATCTGAGACAGTGAGCCTGTTTATAGTAACAGAGGCTATAATAAATGTCTTTGATTGTTAATACTTCATTGCTTTTGCTTTTCCATGAGGCACATATTCTAAATGTATACCTAAAAGCATAAGATGTGAACAGAAAAAGCACATGCTGGCAAATTTATCTATTAAAAGAGATCCACAAATCACAGAAAGAGGATTGAAAGGTATTGGATAAATGGTACCTTTTCCAATAACTCTGTTGCTACATAACATTTCAAACAGTCCATGCTTAACTCTACATCACCATACTTATTGAAAATATTTTATAGCATCCTTTAAGCAAAGTCTTTAGTAGTAACACTGTTTTTGTCCTGAATTGTATCTTCTGCAAAGACTGGCACAAAAATAGGACTTGTTTTTCATCTGCCTGGGGAATGGCCTTATTACTGTTGTTAACACAATCAAAAGATGCCTTATGCAAAGTGGATAAAGGTTTTCACCTGATTGTGTTCTTTCATTATGATGGGAATGCAGAGAAAACTGGGCAATTCAGTTAAATGTTAATTTGATTTATAAAGGGATTTAGCAAGATTGTGATTTCTATTCTATTCTATTCTATTCTATTCTATTGACTGCAACAAAATAAGGAGACAGAGTTTTAAAGAAGCACAGGATGGCTATTGTTGTACATATACACACTTTATGCAAAGTTTGACAATAATGAAATCTTCTCATCTACACACCAAAATGTCATTTTTACAGCATAAGGAAATTATATGAATTATATAGCCACATTTGCAAACATTTGCAAATAATTTAGGATCATTATTTGAATGATCCCAAATTAAAACCCAAGAGCCTTGCTTCCCTTCATGCTGTTACTTTCAGTTTTGTTCCCCTCTTCTGTACAGATAAATAGTTCTTAAAAATGCTGGCCATTGCATTCACATTTTTTTTCTAAAATGTTACTTGAAAACAACATGGCATTCTTTAAAACAGCTATGCAAACTCCAGAATGTAAACGGAATGCTGTATATATGAACATGCACGTGCTTACTACATACATGACTTCCATTCTGAAGAAAAGCCACCACACATTTCTTAGATTATCCCTGTGAGGTAGATAGGCAAGCATTATAATTCAGAAAGGCAAAGATGTTATTGCAGGGAGACCGGCTCCTCTAAATGAAAACAACAACAACAACAACTCTGGAAGTGTAGCAGAGTTTGGCAGTTTTTGACATTAAAGGCTCCAACAGTCCCTGCACCTTCATGGATCCATCCAGAGAGAATAGATGTGCAAAAAGAGATGAAGAACTTCTTCCCTTTGAAAAGAATGCAAACAAAAGGAGGAAAAACATTTTGGTGACATCCAGAGTTGGTTTACTTATTATTCTTCATCGAGGCACGTTGCAAGATGGAAAGGCTATGGTCCCCCTGAATGGTTTGTGTCCACTCATCTGCTCCTACAAGCAACCTGATCTGTCTCAATCTTTCCTGCCTAGTCTCTGACCTCTGATGCCATGAAGAAAGCTGGAGGAAGGGATAGGAGAATGCCTTCTACAGGATAGGAAAGATATGTGAGAATTTCCTTTCTCAGTTACGGATCCTTTGGGAGGAAAAACCTAACATATCCTGTGGTCCTTTAGGATCCATACAACTGCAATCCAGAAACTCTTTTATTAAAGCCAGTTTGATTAAGGATTATTTTCACCTGTGCTGCAAATGCCACTACAACTTATCAACATTGCTATCTTCTCCTTTGCAATGATCCAGCCCCTTTCAAGGAACTGGATTCAGTGATGTATATTGCAATTTCCACAAGCAAATCTAAAGTGTTCCTGCAAGGAGGGAAGGATCAAAGATTCCAGAATGAAAGATTGTATGTCCTGGAACCTTGTATCTGATAGTCAGCGTTCCAGCTTTTTCTCTCCTTCATTGGGGTTTATCATAGTAATCTTAAAATGTCTTTGTGATCTGTTTTTTTCCCCTTTTGGTTCAGAATAAATAATAGGGGGTTACCCACCCCCACCCCCAAAGAAAATCTTTTAAACATTCAACAGAATTTTTTTATCTACCATCAGATGGGCTCCTCCCATGGATTTTATTCACTTTTCTTAATCTTTCAAAACTTTAAAAGATCCCCTTTTAAATCTCCGTGTATCCAGAAGCAAGTCTATTTCTCACTGAGCAGACACACTTTTTTGTGTCTAATGAATTTATCCATTAGCTAATCTAATGAGGAGAAAGGAAGAGGGATGCTGAGGTTGCAAAGGTGGTATCTACAGAAGATACTTAGTAAGATGTGGCAAAGAATTCATAGTTCATTTGCAAAAAAACACTAACCTTAGTGATGAACTTTAGTCCGGCTTTTGGTGGCTTATTATGTCATGGGAACCCAACCTCTTTATGGCTGAATGTAGGAGAGCCCAGAAAATTGGTTAATTCGGTAGTAAAATA